TGTGCTCGTGTTTACAAAACTACACATGGCTTTATGGAACATAACCGATAAGAGTCCAGAAGTTTGTTGTCGTCTTACTGTTTCGAACATTCACCGCATCCTATTCGAATTAATTAACCGCCCTGAACTAATGGCCCCTACATGCTGGGTCTCTGCGAAGGCCAGAACGCTTGTTCACTGTTCCATCGGAATTCTCTATAATATAATAAAACATTCCCCATGTGTAAGGCGTGACTACCGGCAGTTTAATGGAGTCAGTATTCTTGTTGCTTTTACTGCGGACGCAACTATCTGTAAAAAGACGCCCCAGAATGAAGTACTCTCCTGCCGAACTGCCGCCTTGTTTCTGTTAGCTGCGATTGTGGATGAAAAAGAAAATGCGAAAATTCACGCAACGGATACCCATCTTGTTCACGCCCTTGCCATGTTGAAGGATGCATTAGACTCTTCTCCGACTTATTTTTCCTCTAGCCATGGCTACCACGCCACTGAAATTATTCGAAGTTTGAACAAACTTGCAAGCCCAGACAGCAACAAACGAATCCTAGTGAAGAAAAAAGCCTTTGATCTGGCAAAGTATGCTTTGCAGATTGCCAAAGATTTGAAGAAACGCCAGGAAGGCGAAAAGGTTGACTCTACAGATAGTACTACTGAAAAAGCCTATAGCTACGTATCATGTGACTCTCTGGCAGCAATGACAATTGAGCTAATTTGGCAGCTCAGCTTTGTCGCTGAAAGCCGTGAGTACCTTTCACCGTCTTCGGAATTGAAGCTTTTTTGTGAAAGCTTTGGTGACAAGTCGTGGTCCTCAGAATGTCAAAAATCCGTTCAAGGACTTCTATGGAATTTAAGTTCACAAACTGAAGGTATACACTCAGCGGACCTCTCGGCTACATTTGGCCAACCCATCCGACGGCCAGATGGCCATATAATGATAAGTTACCAGCACTCAACCCAGTCAACAATGGTACGATTGAAAGAGGAGCTTGTGAAACTTGGTTATAAAGTTTGGATCGATGTTGATCACATGTGTGAGTTTTTTAAAGATTTTCTGGTAACTGTGATGCGACTTATTTGAAACTATTCGATCGACTAACAAGTTATTTATCCTCCATTTAGCTCACGGATCATTTGTGGATGAAATGGCCGAGGGTGTTGAGGGTGCTTCTGCATTAATACTGGGTCTGTGTCAGGCTTTTAAGGATTCGCCTCACTGTCGCCAGGAAATGCGTTACGCCTATGAGCAGAGAGTGCCTTTCTATCCGATTCTGTTGGAAGAGGACTACAAGCCTGATGGTTGGTTGGCGTTCATGCTCGCAACAATAATATACCTTCCGGCCTTTCGCCCCCATGATATACCCAGTGTGGCACAAAAACTCAGTGAGCAGTTGGGCAACTGTGGCAGGAGGGATGATTTATTAATACCCAAGAGCGCGCGACCATTTAAAACTGAATCCTCTCCGCTGGCCTCCCATCAGCGATCTCAATCGGCCTGTGTTAGTACGCAAGTATGCCACCAAGTCACTCTCGAGTATCCGATGAGCAAACCTCTAAGTATGTTTGTTCATTCATACTTTAGTTTTTTTTACAAGCCTAATTCTTGTCTTGCAGAACTGGTGTACAGTAAATTTCTATATATTTTCACGAGTAATTTCAGTAAACGTATTAGGAAACCAACTGGATAGAAAACTCGATTTTTGACTTTTGTTTCGATTTGGCTGATAACTAGATTTTATGCATATTTAATCCTTTTTTTTCATTAAAGTAGGAAATATTTGCTGCAAAACCACCATACAGACCTCCATATTTTATGGAGGTTTTTCATCGTGTCGGCTACGTTGCCTCGGAATAATCCCCGTTACTCAAATAAAAGCAGTATTTAGCCTGTACTTCGGTTTTGAGTTACTCGAATACTACCTTTCCCGACTTTATTACGGATAAATCAGGGCCTGCACTTGGAGCTGTCTTTTATATTTGCCAACCTGATTTTCATGCTGCACGCTTAGGACAGTTTTTATCGCATTCTTCACGAAACCGTTTTGCGTGCTGGTGGGCCAATAAGACAACCAGAAAGTCAATTGAGTAACTGCATACAGTATTTACTTGACTAAATAAGACAGCTTGAAGGCTTCTCGGTCATAGCTATTCATATGCCTCACTTAAACTCCATAATAAGCAGAAAAGTTAGAAGTAAACAACCATTTCCAGCGATAGTATCTACTTACTCTCAATTAGTTCCTCGGACTAGCATTTTCGCTCGTTTTGGCAAACCGAAATGTTGACAAAATCTCCACTACCCCAGGTCTGCCTACAAATTTTGAATAGCGAGCTACTCGTATGCCTTCATTCTTATTCTACAGCAAATGCTACACACTCCAACCCGAAAAAGGCTACGGAAAACTGAGCCACAAAACTTTGCTGCTAGTATTGCACTCGTGACGCCTGCGATCATGCGTGATCAAGCCGGCTTCGATAATGTCACGTAGTGTACGTCAAGCTTTGAGTACCAGGGTACAGCAACGTTCGCACACTCCAATATCAAGTATCCGTTCGCGATTGTGTAACTCAGCTCACACACTATTGGTCTGCACCACTGGACTAGGGTTGGAGAGTGCATCGGTTCCTGTATACGCCGTAGCATGCATCGTAGTGCTATAATGGAACATACTTTCATGACGTTTCTTGGAAATCCTGAGTACGGGCAAGTCTCCAACGCTCGATCGGGATGTCTTTCCGAGGTTGTCGCCTATAGTGTATTCGGTCAAATGCTTATTTATTGGCGGTTCACGGTCGCCATGTCACAGTCCCGGTATCGGATTTTGAGACGTTTTAAAAGGGTTTTGGGGTGCCAGAACTCAACCCATTGTACTGGTTGCACTGTTGCTGCGGGATAGACTCTTTTGAGGTGCACAACCCGTAGTACTATCCTTTAATGTAACACAGGCATGAAGTTCCAGAAATTTATTGCGCATGCAGAAACCGAATTATTCTCTGAGGGTGCGTTCTCTCAAATAAATTTATCCTCCTCATGCCTGCAGTATGTTCGGACGAGGTTTTTTATACCTACAGAACCTGATGTCCTTGACCATAACATCAGACTAGTATTTTTATCTTCTGATTGACATCGCGATGAGATCGCAGACGCTCACATGCGACAGGAAGTGTTCCGCGCGAGTCCTTACCGTTGAGTTACCCTCCCAACCCTGACCTGTACGTAAAATGGAGGAACCAAAATGGACGAAGGAGTTGTATGGGGTGTAAAGTAGGTGCTCAGATTTAGGCTAGATCGCGGTAGGTAAAGGCTATGCGCTTAAGGGCAGATTGTCACCACCGATGAGTGTACAATGCAATCGTTTCAATCCGGAAATAAGACAGTCATTGAATAGATTTAAAGTTGTTGTCTAAGCTGGGGAATGTTGGTGATATTAATCGTGAGCCCTGATACACTTAACATTGTCAGTGTCCTGTGAAGAAACGAGCCACGTAGTTCTGAGCGCCAAATTATCCCTGCCGGTCAGTACTCCTGAAGCCCTTTTATTCTATTAGGTGTTTCTTTGCGAAAATTCTTTCCCCTCCTAGCTTTACTTTTCTTTCATTCACACTTTTCTATCCTCAAATTGTCAATGATGTCACTGATATTGTTGTTTTCGTCTTTCTAGCTCCATCACACAAAAGTTTTGACTCTTTTGACAACTCAACCCCTTCGGTGCCCATGGAATCTCGGAGCTTGTGCGAAAATCCGACGCTCACTCTCAATAATACCAACCATTCATGCGTCTTCTTTGGTGGCCAAACACCCCACGCGTTTGAAATGATTGGCACCCACGTTAAATCCCCCAACGGCAATTGGCTGTTAAAGCCCACGGGATCCACCTCAGCTACGGAGTCAATCAGGAATGCTTTCATGGAGGCAGGTTCAATGTACAAGTCGCCCAACAGTTCCATCATCAAGATCGATTCTCAGGAAGGCCTCCCACCCAGCTTCATCCGCAACTGGTCTGCGGGGCAAGTGGCCAAGTGGCTCACAGAATGCAACCTCTCCAAGTTCACTGAGGCCCTCGACGGCTTGGACGGCTGTTTGCTGTGGGAGCTAGCTCGCCAGAGGATTGTCGCACCAGAGAGTTTTTGTGCCCAACTGCGTTCGGACCTCGGCATGACCCTTATTGAGCGTCTGCGCTTCAGTCATGCCCTTTCCCAGCTTTCGGATTTGCATGAAGATTAAAACTGGCACTACCTTAGTCCGCAGTTTCAGTCTGAGCTCTGGTCTTTCCCCTCCTGCGTTCCATTCTTTTTTTCGTAACTTCATTTTTTTTCATAATTTCCTTTTCCATCCAGAAATGCCATACGTACTATCTTTTTACTTACCCGATGACTATGTCTTGACCATAACCAAGAACGGCTGTGACAAGATGTGATACTTCACCTATATGTTCGCATAAGCTGAATAAATACTTATATTTTTTCGCTTTTTTTGTATTTGTTCTTTTTGTTGGCGTTTGACAGAAATCTAGCTCTAATATGTTTGGGTATTTGGCTCCATACCTCCACGACCCATTTATGCGGAATACAGTAGATACCCTATCCCATGAAATGCCGACCAAAATTCTGAAACGTTTTCGATTCGAACGATATACGTAAGTACTGCTTTTATATTGATTATCATACAGCCTCATCTTAAGATATTTACTCACATGAGGTTGTTGGCTTTTGAACGAGCATCTTTCTGACTGTTTACAAGAATCGTATTCTATTAAAAAATAGCTACCTAAGTACTATGCCTTTTTAAATTGATTTTCATAGTCTCGAATTCAAGAATATGTTTTGGAAAACAGGCACAAAAATACCATTTTTGTACTCGTTTGGTAGCAAGTTAAGCCTTTTTCATATTATGTTCTTAAAGGTAGGGTATCGTGCGGTCTTAAACGTTTCTAAATTGTTAAATAATTTTGAAGCCTATCGGTCCTTTCACTTGAATTCAAGGTCTCCAGTCTACATGCTGTATACATTCTGTCTAAGGAAAAACAAATTATTATCTACGATGTGAGGAAGAAGTTACGTAGTTCCCATAAAAATTTGCATAGATGTGGTCAGAGTTTTATAGTTTATAAGTAGCATTAATAAATGGATGGATACGGTGTATTTCACGGTCATAAAAACGTAATAATTAAAAACTGTTTTGAGACCGAAATTCTACGCTTTCTTCAAGTATAGCCTTTGAAGGAGGCGTGATTGGCTACCAAACGAGTACAAGAAAGTACATTTCTGTACATGTTGGAACTTATGAGAACAGTAAAAGTCACTGCAAAACCCGCATACTAAGTACGCAGCCATTTTTACCGAATATAGTTTTTGCTGATGGTCAGAAAGAAGCTCGTTCAAGAGCCGTTATCCTAACGTGACTGAAATATCCTGTGATCAGTTGTGCAATAATCAGTATTGCAACGCTATGTAAGTAATTTGATCGAATCGAAAACACATGCCAGAATTCCGGTTGATATTTCATGAGATAGGGAATTTACTATAGCTATTTGATGGC